CTCCAAAAACTAATAAATGAGTTTAGCAAAGTTGCATAATCAACTGTATTCCTATATACTTGCAATGAACAACTAGAAAAAAATTTTTTAATTTAAGTACCATCTACAGCACCACAGAAAAATTGGAATAGCTGGGTATAAGTTTAACAAAACATACATAGAATTTGCATGCTGAAAACTACAAAATACTGATGCAAGAAATCAAAGAAGACAAAACTAAATGGAGAACATGCCACGTTCCTGGCCTGGAAGACTCAACGCTGTCAAGATATTACTTCACCCCAAACAGGTCAATAGAGTCAATGCAAAATCTCAAACAAAATCCTAGCAGGATGTTCTATGGATACTGACAAGCTGATTCTAAAATGTATATGAAAAGAGAAAGGAACTAGAATGACCAAAACAATTTTGAAAAAGAACAGAGTTGAAGAACTCACACTAACTGATTTCAGGACTTACTACAAAGATACAGTAGTAAAGACAGTGTGGCATTACGCAAAAAGATAGACACAGAGATCAATGGAAGAGAAGAGAGCCTAGAAACAGACCCATACGGACAGGACCAACTGATTTCTGGCAAAGATGCAAAATCAATTCAGCAGATACAAGACAGTCTTTTTAAGAAACAGTGCTCAACTAACTGGCTGTCAATATACAAAGAAATAAACTTCTACTGATGCTTGCATGTTATACAATACTTTACTCAAAATGGATCACACGGGCTTCCCTGGTGGCGCAGTGGTTGAGAGTCTGCCGATGCAGGGGACGCGGGTTCGTGCCCTGGTCCGGGAAGATCCCACATGCCGCGGAGCGGCTGGGCCCGTGAGCCATGGCCACTGGGCCTGCGCGTCTGGAGCCTGTGCTCTGCAATGGGAGGGGCCACAACAGTGAGAGGCCCGCGTATCGCAAAAAAAAAAAAAAAAAAAAAAAAAAAAATGCATCACAGACCTAAATGTAAAACACAAAACTATACAACTTCTAAAACAAAAAAAAATTAGAGGAAATTTTTGTGACCTTGGGTTGAGCGAAGAGTTGTTATATATCAAAAGCACAATCCATAAAAGAAAAAAAATGATAAAAGAGACCAAATCAAACTTCAGAACTTCTGCTCTGTAAAAAACGATATAAAAGAAGGAAAAGATACGGCACAGAATGACAGAAAAATATTTGCAAATTTATATCTGACAAAAAGCTTATATCCAAATTATATAAAGAATTCTCAAAGGCAACAATAAAGCAAATGACTCAATGGAAACAAATGGTGAAGGAAATAAACAGATACTTCACGGAAGAAGACACACAAATGGGAAATGAACACGTGAAAAAGAAAAGCTGTTCAACATCGTTAGTCGTTAGAGACATACAAGTTAAAACCACTGCATACATATTAGAATAACTACAGAAGAAAATTGACAAGAACAAGCAGTGGGCAGGATGCAGAACAAAAGGAACTCTCAATCACTGCTGGTGGGAATGTGAAACGGAACAGCTACTGCGGAAAGTTTGGCAGTTGCACATAAAACTGAATGTACTCTTAATAACAAACCAGAAACCTGTCTCCTAGGTATGCCAACAACTGGAAACAACCCAACATCCTTCAAAGGGTGAATGGCTAAACAAACTGGGGAACATTCATATAATGGAATACCGCTCAGCAAAAGAAAGAAACAACTGGCAAATTCAACAACGTGGATGAATCTCAAATGCATTATGCTAACTGAAAGAAGCCAGACTGAAAAGGCAGCATGCATATACTATACTGTATAATTCCACTTATATTTTATTCTGGAAAAGGCAAAATCATAGACAGAGAACAAAGGTTAAGGGAGGGAGAAAATTTGACGACAAATATGTGGCATGAGGAACATCTCGGGGGATGACAGAACTCCTCTGCTTCTTGGGTGGTGGTGGGACACAACTCTAGGCATTTAACAAAACTCACAGAACTATAGACCAAACAGAATAAACTTTACTGAATTAAATAAATTTAAATAAATAAATACCGTTAATGACATATGAAAATGGACTGATTAAACTAAGAATCTGTATGTGAATATACATAATGGAAGAAAAAAGAAAGCTCGTCATTACAGCAGAATGCCAGCTAATGAATACAGAAGGAATAATGGAGTTAGAAAATCCATTTTGCAATCTTTAATGTGACAGCTGACTCCAGCAAGACTCGTCAATAGATAACAGAATTAGTGGCCCATGTCAAACGACATTCTACAAAATAACTGACCTACACTTCTCAAAAATGTGAAGGCATCAAAGAGTGAGGCGTTTTCCCAGATTAAAGAAGACCAGAGAGGCATGGCAACTAAACACAATGGGTGATCCCAGACTGGGAGAAAAACAACTATACAAAGGATGTCACCGGAACAAGAGACAAAATTTGCACATGAGCTGTGGCCTAGTCATAGTAAAAGTTACTGTAAAATTTCCAGAATTGATTGTTATACCATGGTTAGGTCAGGTAACACTCGTACCTGATACCATATGACGAAGGACTTAGGGATGCAAGTGTGATATGATGTCTGCAATTTACTCTCAAATAGTTTGGGGGAAATGTGTATGTGTGTACATATAAAAGAGAGAGAGAATAAAAATAATGCAAATGGGGCAAAAAGTTAACAACTGGTGAATTTGGGTAGAGGATATAACGGGAGGTCTTTGTACTGTTATTGCAACTTGTATATATGTTTGAAATGATACCAAAATTAAAAATTAAAAAAATTTTAAAAACATTATCACCGCAAGATTCAACTGCTTTCAGAACCTAGCACAATCTATTCCAAAATGACTAGAATCTGACCTGTACTTTTAGGTTCTTGGCATTTATTAATGTAACACTGAGTGATTTAATTTTCAAAAAATTAAAGATAATCAGTTTGCATTCAATTAACATCCATTTAGAAGCCTACGGTCCTGGTATTTTAGAAGTGCGTTTCATTTCAGTGTTTCTTCTAGCTACAGAAAATATCAAGTTATCATCTGTGTAATCTTTTCTTTTTCTTCTGTTTGCACTGTTCTCAAAAATACAGATAGAAGACACAAGAAAGAACCAACATTTAAAACACAGCACACAAGGAATCCTGAGCATACATTCAACAGGACTGTAGGTATTAGATGACATGCATGCTGAAGCTACTACTGCGTTACAGGTCAATACACACAAAAAATAATGCATTAAGGTCTGTGTTGTCATTTACTCATGCAATTTAGTTGTATAATTTTATATGCAGGAAGGCTTTTTTACTTTTTTAAAATAAGGAATGGGCTCTGGAAAAAAATGCTGAAGAGCAAATAGTAAATTGAAGGTTAAAATATCTGGATGAAGGAAAAGTTTCGGATGAGACTACATTTTAGAACCATCGAAAAGTACCTGAAATGGTTGCTGCTGGGATGAAAAAGCAGCAGAAACATTTGGAGGAAGCTGGGTTGCTATAGCAACAGGAGTACCAGTCTGCCCATCCTTTCCTGTCACAACCTTTACCTGAGAGGAAATATTTTGAGAAAAAAAGGCAACATAATTTTTAAGACTGCTCAAAATTTTGTTAGAATTTTATTGCTGATAGCTCACTGATGTCTGGTGTTTAAAAATGGAATGTTTTTGCATCAAATCCTGTAAAAGGACACTGAACTGATTTATGACAGATTTATAATACCCTAACTCAACTGCAAATCTTGCAGAAACTCCAATTTAAGTCACAAGTGCAATGTCCTTAGAGTCTGCAACTTCAAACTTTAAAAATGGTAATGGCGGACAGTCGTCAAGTAGCAAAGCCCTGACAAGCTCACAGGCAGTTTACACCCTGGCCTACTACATGCAGGTCAGAATGGCAATGACAGATAAGGGGGATTGAGCCTACAGACAACATTGGTGTACAAACATAAAGAGAACTGAATTTCACTATTTCATGGCAACAGAGGTGAAATCCTCAAAAAAAAAAAAAAATCATATAAACCTTTTAGAAAATAAAAATGGTTCATCCTGGAAAGGGTGTTAAAGAAAACACCAAATGGCAAAGCCACACATAATAAATATCAAGGAGGAGATGAGCAAAGAGGCCAGCTTTTGTTCATCAAAGGCTGATTTCTTTGCAGAAGAACTGACAGAGGTTTACACTATTTTAGCTGTATCAAAAAACAAAATAAGCTCCACCAACATAGTGTACAGCACACAACACAGAGGCACAAATACAGTGCATCACACTGCACCTCACTGTCGCCCTGTCTGATCAGCTTCCTTCTTAGGAAGTACCAATAAAGGGACCTTAGGAATCACTAAGGTACTGAGAATCCCAATTGGGGAATTTATTAAGCACCCATTCCAGGCACCCAAAAAGTTCACTATCTGAAAAAGAGTCTATCTTAAATACCATTCAGTAGCTATGTGCAACAGTTTGAGTTAAATACGTGATCTCTAAAAATTGAAAAAATTCTCAGTTGCTTTGCCATAATAACCATATTTTAATCATGAAGATACCTTATAAATGTATCTAGCGATTTAAATCATAACTGATATACTGTAACAAGCTAGTGATTCAAATCCCTTCTTTAAAGATGACATTCATGGTGTTGAGAATCCCAATGGGTGGACCTACGTAAGTAAAATGTGAAACCTGGGGAACCAGCGGGAAGGTGTCCACACCCCTGGCTTCTGCAGGCCCTTCGGGGCTGGCCAACCTCCACACACCCAGCAGAGCACAGGGGAAGGCTGGGTCAGGCCAGGTTGGCTCCCCAAACCGGGGAAGCATCCCTGTTCTAAACGCACCGGCAATACTCACAGCGCACCACTCTGCACCGTCCTCCCAACTAGAGCAGCTCTTTCCTTCCGTGAAGGAAAAAGCAAATGCATCTTCCATTTGCTCCTGGACCAAATCCTTATGAACTGCATCTCATGAACACCCCAGGCTCACAGATCACGTGCAATTCACGGCTGCCTGGACGCACAGCCAAGCAGCCCGGCCTGCTGGTGACTGAGCGCCGCCCCTCACCTCGTCGTTGATGACCTCAGACTTCTCCTCGTCCTCATCCTCGTCCTCCTCCTCCAGGTCCAAATCATTCTGCCTAAGGTAAGCTTGTAACGGGGCATAATGCTTCTTCTTGAAAGCTAGGAAATCCATCATGTTTCCCTGAAGGTGTTGCAAGAAGAACAGCTCGACCAAGTACTCCTTGAAGGCCGCCTTCAGAGCCTCCATCTCCCTGAAGTGGTAGTCCAGGCACTGCTTCCGCATCTGAGCCAGCTCCTGGGAGGCCGCGGGGATCTCTTCCAACTTCCTGGGAGCCTTTCTTATCCCCGCGCTCCCCGCAGACGGGACAGGAAGGCTGGAGAGGCCCGGGGGCGCTGCGGTCCTGGAAGGGCTGGTGGGGGGCGGTGGGGACGTCATCCCAAACGCCGAAGTCCCCCCGACGCCGGGGAGCAGAGGCCTGGTCAGCGGAGGCCCCTGCAGCACCTGCTGCTGCTGGATCAGCTGCCCCTGGATGATGCTGCTGATCTGGGGTGGCAAGCTCGTCGTGGTGATGTGGCCGGGGCTGGACAGGGGCTGCAGGCCAGCCCCGCCTGCGGCCGCGGGGCTCTGAGGTCCCAGGTGATGGACGGTGCCCCCCGACTGCGCGTGGGGCTGCGAGAGTCTCCGTTCTCTGACCGTGATGGGCGTCCCCGTGTGCTGCAGCTGAACCTGGGCGCCCGGGGCCATCTGCGCCAGGCCTGAGCCCTCCTGGAACACGAAGTGGCCGCCACTGGACGGGCTCAGGCTGATCTGTCTCACCAGCACACTGGCATCCACGAAGCCCCCGGTGGGACTGCTGCTGCATAGGCCCAGGCCGGGGCCAGGGGCTCCCGCCCGCACGCTCTGCAGGCCCGGTCCCGGCCCAGGGCTGGGCTGGGTGGGGCTCTGAGTCTGCACCTGCTGGGACAGCGGCGAGGTGACCTGGATGTACGATGGAGACCCATGCTCAAACCGCCTCTGCTGCGCACTGAACTGGAATCCCGGAGAAGTGGGGCTGGGCAGCGGCAGTGGGGCCAGCGTGATCTGGGGGTTCCCTCCCACCACCGGCCCCACATTCTGAAGGGCGATGTTCACACTCTGCCCGGCCACGGGGCTGCGGTTCATCAGTTGCTGAACTTGGTAACCAGGGGACTGGGGCGCGGACGGGCTTGCTGCCGGCGCAAAGGGCGTGGCGGGGGACTGCGGGGGGTTGGGACGGGCCTGCTGCTCTTCTTCACTGCCGGCGAAGGCCCTGGACCTCTGCAGCGGGTGCTGGACGTTCTGAGGGCCGCTGCCATGGTGCATGATCGCCCTCCTTGTTTATCCAACTTAATGCTCTCCTGAAAAATCAAAGTTAAAATCAAGTTACTTAGAGGCAAATATAACCATCTGATCACTACTTATTCTGAGTACCATTTAGCAGCACTGGACAGATGCTCTGGAGGGATGTTCCCACCAGCATCTGATACAAACCACTGTCTTACTGTCATCGAGCCCCCATGAGATGGCACTGGAGACCATCTCCTTCAGCACAGAGGAGGGACAGGGCCTTCTGGGTCCCTGCTGTGCCTGGGGCCAGGACACGGCCTGGCAGGAGCAGGTGGGTGGTCCCAACCAGCTCCCGAGGAAGCTAACTGGCAATCACTTGCTCAAGGCCAGTGGGATCTGAACCTGGTGCTGGCGCTCGCGACAGGCATGTTTCTTCCTGGGAGGCTATTCCTCGGCTGGTGGCCCTGCTCCGTGCCGCCACGTGCTGGGGCAGTCTGCCCGTCTCTCCCAGTGGAGGAACGGTGCCCAGGAGGCCGCCAGTGGCTCCCACACATGCCACCGGCGCATGTCATCAGAAGAGAACCGCCCCTTCACCAGCTGGCAGTTCTCATGAGCATCTGTGCGACGCCCCTGCAAACACCCCCGGGTTACTTGAGTGTGAACACACAGAGCCCCCATCCCGGGTCAGACTCTACGCTCCTGGGGGAGAGGCCCAGGCCTGGTGCCAGCCTCGCACCTCAGCCCTCTCTACGAGCTCACCCGGGGGTGGCGGGCGTTTCCAGAAGAAAACCTCAGGAGAGAAGGGAGCGCCCCCCCATCAGGGGTCCACCAACTCTGGGAGCTGGGACACGGCTTTAAAGAGGCTCATGGCCCCAAGAGTGCTGAGGGCCGCGGACTAGGGAAGGGGGCGGGAGAGGGGACAGGACGCTGAGAAAGGACGGGAGGAAGCAGAGGACGAGCGGGAGGAGGCTAATTCCGAGGTGAGGCAGGGAGGCCACCCACAAGTCACGCTGGGCTGGAGCCTCGCTGTCTGCAAGGGGGCGACCCCGCTGGGAACAGGACGACAGCCAACAGCCGCAGCCTGTCTGTTCCCCACTGGCTGGGTCAGAAATACCCTCCCCCCGGTTCCAATTCTCAAGTCTTCACTTACACACCTAGCTCCCCATTTCTTGGTGTCCCTTCCAGCCCTCCCCGCAAGACAATCAGGACCATCCTTTCATATTCTGGGCGTCACTGTTATTTCATGGAGAAAACGGACAAGGGATGAAAATCATTATAAACCGAAAGTTACAAGACTTAAAAAGTGGAAATACACATTTGCATGAATGCTGCCACAGTCCCAGGCCCCTGGCTGAAACACACACATGTATGAAATCCCGAGCTACAGAGCTCATGGGCGCACAAGTGAAGGCTGGGACACATGAAGACCAGCGCCTGCTTGGACTAGCAGGAGGCACTCTCTGCTCTGATGACCGTCCCTGAAGATGGAGTCTAAAGACCATGGGCAAGCTGCAGCCAACACATCCGAACGGAAAATCGGGACCACAGCCTTAATTATCAACCCAGGAGCCCTCTCCCACCCTCGCCCCCAGCACACAGCCCAGCAACGTGGGCGGGAACTGTGAGCTGTGGGACACTCAAGAGCCGGGGACTCTGAGGCATGCCTATTGCTTTCAAGACGAGCTTTTGGGACTTCCCTTGTGGTCCAGTGGTTAAGACTCTGTGCTCCCAATGCAGGAGGCCTGGGTTCGATCTCTGGTCAGGGAACTGGATCCCGCATGCATGCCGCAACTAAGACCCAGCGCAGCCCAATCAATCAATCAATCAAGTTTTAAAAAGAGCTTTTGTTCCTGATCTTTTTAAACAAGCATTATGAGGAAGATTAGTGTAGAACAGACACAAAAATAGAATAAAAAGAATAAACAAACACATTAAGACATATTTCAGATTATTTCCTTAAAATACATTCCCAGAATACCAAAGATGATAAGAGAGAACAAAGGCCAGAAAGAAACTCTCTCACATATAATAATTTACAAAACCAGGGGGAAGGTAAGAATTGGGGCG